ACTGGGAATCATTGAACTGTCTGATTCACCTTATTGCTCACCCATTGTGCTTATTAAGAAGCCTGATGGAAGTCTTCGGTTTTTTACAGACTTCCGAAAGCTCAATAAGATCACAATATTTGATGCTGAGCCAATGTCTAACCCAGAGGAATTATTTGCACAATTGGCTGATGGTAATTACCTGACCAAACTTGATCTTACTAAAGGGTTCTGGTAAATACCTTTGGCTCCTGAGGCGAAAGCCAAAACTGCTTTTCTTACCCCACTGGGTCTTTTCCAATATCGTTACCTTCCATTTGGACTTGTAAATAGTCCCAGTACGTTCAATCGCACTATGCGAACAGTTCTGATGGGTACTGAAGGAGAAGTTGTTAGTTTAGTGGATGACATTTTGATATATAGCAAGACTTGGCAATCCCATCTGAAGCGATTCAAAGATGTATTGAATCGCCTCCAGAAGGTGGGCTTAACGGCTAAACCATCAAAATGCTATATTGGTTTCACTCGGCTTGAATTTTCTTGGCCATGTGGTGGGGCGAGGCCAATTGAGTCTAGTCCCAGGAAAGGTTCGTGCATTGCAGAATGCTCCGGGACCCCTGACTGTAACTAACATTAGATCATTAGTGGGGCTAGCGGGTTATTATCGCAAATTTGTTCCTAACTTTGCTGCCATTGCTGCACCTCTACACGAACTTACAAAGAAGGGTAAACCCAGGAAAGTCGATTGAGAGCCTTGCCATCAGCTGGCATTTGAACAGCTCAAAAATATTTTAAGTAATGCCCCCTGTATTGCGACTTCCCGATTTTGAGCGAACTTTCGTTCAACGGACAGACGCCTCGCAAACGGGCCTTGGAGCGGTCTTGTTGCAATGTTATGACGATGTCGCATTTCCAGTGGCATATGCTAGCCGGAAGGTGAGCCACGCAGAGTCGCATTATGCGGTGATTGAAAAGGAATGCCTGGCCATAGTTTGGGGAATAAAAAGTTTCAGCCATATCTATACCTTCGTGAATTTTGGATTGAAACCGACCACAAGCCGCTAGTCCATATGAAAACCGCTAAATTTTCTAATAGTCGAATTATGCGATGGGCTATATATCTTCAATCCCTTTCCTATCGAATAATTAGTATAAAGGGTAATCATAATCTAGGGGCAGATTATTTAAGCAGAAATCCTGAAGTTTTAGTACAATAGCCAATATGATGTTGAATGTAATATAGTGATTGGTTGTTTTATGTAGTTTCCCTGATCCGTAACCTCAATGAATTGTATTGTTGATGTAACCATAATACCATCTTTAATGGCATGGTTACATCTTAGCATGGGGGTATGTCACGAGGTGTTTGGATCATATCAGAAACTGTATTATTAAAAGGACACGCTTGTTATTATGTAATTTTGTATTAATTTATTGTTATAGTATAAATTGATAACAGCCCAGAGGTAGGTTTTATAGCCCAGTGGGTAGCCGCATTTGTCACTCACTACACGTACAGAAAGTACCTATTACGTGACCTCGAGGTCGCACTTGGACAATGCTGGACGAGTATCCGTGTGATGAATGAACAGGTGTCGCGAACCAATTAGCGATTGACTCGATTAGCCATGTGATGGCAGGGTATTTAAAGACTGAGACAGCGTGGTGCTCGGTTGTTGCTGCTGGAGATCTTGACCAACATCTACGCTTTGTACGACCCTGGAAGCGGCGAACAGTACCACCACATACTACCATAGTCGAACCCGGCATTGAACACCAGTCTGAAGTCTAACTGGGAAGGAAGCCTTGGCGCTGTGGACGAGAAGGGAGAGTTCAAGTCGCTAATTACCGTCGTTGGCTTCTTATAATTCACCGGCGACGCTGCCGACTGACACTGTTCGATGCATGTCGGGGAAAACGTCAGGTACTGAACATTCCTACACACACACACTAGTTAGTCTTGGGCTTTAAGTTATTATATTATCTTGTTAATTACTAGAATTGTTATTTTCCTGGCCAGCTTATTTATGTAACATTTTAAGAGTGCATGGCACTGATACACGTGACTAGTAGGGTACGCCGTTGCTCCCCTGGTCGTAGGGTCGTTACCGACTTTGCTGTGGTGTCTACAGTGCGAAATTTCGTAACCCCCACCTCTTACCAATAACATAGTTGCGTTGGTGCGTGGTGAGGGCCGCGTGTTGTGCTGAACCTTTGCAAGGGCGGGCGATACGGACGGAGAGAGCTGTAGCAAGTGCATGTTTTGTGTACCTAATAAACTATGGTTTCACGTAATTCATGTGTAGTGTCGTATGTGTAAGATTGGCCGGTGTGCATTATTGCTGCTTGTATGTGCATATAGTCATATTGAACTCTACTGGAGCCCATCAGTCTAAATTATACTTGTGTTACACGAATTGTGTAATTTTATATTGGTTAAGAACCCGCACACGAGGTAGTAAAAGTATTGCATACTATTTGGTAATTTGGTTAATATTTTACCCTGTGACCTCGTGACAATATTCTATGGGTGAAACTAATGTTCCATGGGTTGAGCTAATATGTTCAATGGGTTGAGTTAATATGTTCAATGGGTTGAGCTAATTAATTCTACGAGTGGAACTAATGTTTCATGGATTAAACTTGTATGTTCAATGGGTTGAGCCAATATATTCTACGAGTTGAACTAATATGTTCAATGGGTTGAGTTAATATGTTAGCATATTATATGGAATATATCAGCTCAACCCATTGAACATACGAGCTGAATCCATGGAATATATTAACTCAACACATTTAAAATCAGCTTACAACTTTTGATCAATCAGAATGCTTTATTGGCAGGCTTTAAATACACTGAATGCCATGTTTTGAGATCTGATCCACTTCATTAGTCTGGAAACAATGGATTTTATATTGTATGAAGTTTATAAGGCTTTTATATGAATAATGTGACAAAGTACATACTCTTGTCAAGTAATACAAAACATCAACCATAGCTAGATTAAAATTTAATCACGAGAATTAGTGTTTAAATAATCGCAGCACCCTGATCCATACCTGCAATTGGTCCTTAGATCTCAGACTATAGTGTTTCTGTTCAGATCATAAATATGCATCAGTTCACCTGCTATATTTTGAATATGCAAATACTGGTATTCAATAACTTAAATAACCGAGACCAATGGAAACAAATTCTGAAGCTTGCACTACTGCATTCAATGCAATTTTTTACTACATATCCTATCAGGAAGAAGGCATAGTTACTTTGCCACAAATGCAATTTGCACAAGGTGTAATCAGGATTCACTAAATGCATTTTGAAGTACCAGAACAAGGTACATTTACAGATGGTTTATGGGACAATAGAAACATGGCTCTACTATGCACTCCCTCTAATGAAATGTCAAAATTGGTCCAGTTTATAAAGTCTGCACTTTTCTTCAGAAGATTGGGAAAAAAATAGCAACATTTTTGTGAAACTGAAAATTGACTTAAATTTTGGGTTCAAAAAATTGCGATAGAAAATGTTCATGGTAAATGTGCCAAGCTTGTAGTGTATTGATTTATTGAACACCTGAGCAAGGCAAAGCCTCGTGTTTAATCTGCATACGAATCAGGCATAGCAAAATGTGCTGGAAATGTTCTGTGGAAAACACTGTACAACAGTAACTCCACATCACAATAGACGACAGACAGTAATCACTCTACAAACACACATTAATGTAACTTAAAATTCAAATTTAATGATTCAACATTGTTATACAGTAATAACAGGTTTAACTATAAACATCAATGTTCAAATGTATTATTGTTTCTTTGTAGAATGTGTGGCTTTACTTTAGTAAAATTGAAGTGATTAGCCAAACTCCCATCAAGTGAACAATTGCATGCTCTATGTGATACCGGTTGATCCATATAACCACTTTAAGTTTGATTTAAACAAAAAACCAAAACTACCAGCAGGTTTGACTTGTGTGTATGCAAGATCAAGAGTGTGTTCGAGTCGCTGCCTTTGAAATGCCCTGAGTGACACGTTTGTCTGACAAAGTTGTGTATGTGAATATAATACAAGGAAATAGTGTCAAGTGATTTAATCGAATCATTGCTATGCAAGCAAAACTTTTGTAAAATGTATGAAATTTATTTCAAAACCATATCCTGTTGCGTTTTGTGTTTGAGAAAATTACACGCAAGTTGTGATAGCAATTGAACGAAAAGTGTGCAGGCTTGATGGCGACCCAGGGCACTTTGAGACAGCGATGCGAACACACCCTGAACAGGATGTGTAACCTAAACATCTTGGGTCAAAAATACCAGGATGTGTAACCTGAACTTTTTAGGTCAAAAATACCAGGATGTGTAACCTGAACTTTTTAGGTCAAAAGTACCAGGATGTGTAACCTGAACTTTTTAGGTCAAAAATACCAGGATGTGTGACCTGAACTTTTTAGGTCAAAAGTACCAGGATGTGTAACCTAAAATTTTTAGGTCAAAAATACCAGGAGTGCACAATATTCAAAACAAAATTTGTTGGCATTTTAAATTGCTTGCAGAAACATGATTTCCTTAAATATCATAAATTTGTTTTATTATAAGTACACTGCACCAACAGTTATTAAAACAGAAAGTTGCATGAAAATGGGTTTCTTTCTTTTTTTTTTACAAATGTTGAAATTCACTTTGTTCATTCATAAATGATACTGATATAGAAACAACAACAAATAAATAAAATATTTTAACTTAAACTAGACATAATAAAAGGACAGTTTACAACTAGACTCCACTTACATCAAAGTCTGAAAAGTTGGACCAAAATAAAAATGTACGTTAGCGGAACTTTATATCCATTTGTACAGCCATAAACATAAATTGGTTACTTTATTTCAAATGAGAACCAATGTGTTTTTTTTTCTCGAGAAACAAATGCACAACTTACAAATTTGTACAATAAGATTTTTTTATCTTGGAATGGAATGAGCGAATTGGAAAATGTGCAAGAACAGATGTGGTTTATTTTGAAAGAACGAATTAGGGCTATTTTATGGCTAAAATATTGAAATTCAGCAACATAGTTATTACGATTTTAAGTTTTGTGGCACATTTTAATAGGAGGAAGTGGTTTCTGGTTGCAAACCCTACCATATATTCTCTAAATACCTCAGAATCTAAGGACGATACCACATTTGCTCGATTAGAAGCGCGTACACTTACATACATGCCAATGGTCAAAATATGTCCTATTTTTTAAGTATGGGGATCGTCACCTGCGCACACACAGGAATTGAGTCCCAAGCGACGATAACACCAATAAAAACGAAAAGGCTCATGGGTAGGCACTTGTTTGTAAACAATGACACGCTGCGGCCATCTGACGCATGCGCAGGTGACGACTCCCGCTTTAATGATTCAGTACTCAATAAATGCAATTTATGGTTTATGATATGGCCCTGATGGAGCTAAATATGGTATTCATTTACATCAATGCATCCCAAAAAAAACGAGCAAAACCAAACTGAGATAGTACCAGGGTCCACATTGCGTGGTTTAGATTGAGACGATCATTGCTTAGAATTTAGCTATTGTAGGTCTGCCAAACTTTTCCTAAGACACCTTGGAATGATGGAAAATTAATGTCATGTCAGCCGTTAAAACAAGGATGACAGCTTTGTCAATCAAATTGACGATCTTCAAGCCCATAGATTCTCGACAGCCACACAGTACAAACGGCTGTGTAAGCTATATCAAAATAAACACTTTATTTTACTCGAAATCAGATCATAGAGGTAAACATATTCAGACTTTACCATAAAACTCGTGTAAAGCAGATTCCTTTTAAAAGACATTTTTATATCAACCCAAACTGTACATGTATTGTAAATTTAGAGTTGGATCAGGATTTATGATTTCATTATGACCTTATTTTTCTCCAAAGGGCCAAATTTGTATAAGTAACAATTTATTATTCATATACAGATAACTTTTCATTACATGCGAGTGATGTACTGACATCTTACATAAATGAAAGCTACATTAGCGTGCCGTGTGCAAACATGTTTGAGATTATCCTCTGATTGGTTGCTCAATGTCATGTGACCTTGCATCCACTGGCCAATCAAATAAAAAAACTTTAGTAGTTCATAATAACAAATAGTGCAATTTGCTGGTTAATATACAAAATGTCACAGATACAATAAAAAGTTATAATCTATTTATAGAACAAAAATATGGAAGAACTGTCAACATAAATGCAAAAATAATGTGTTTAAATCATCTAATTTATATGATTAAAATAAAATATCTAAAAAAAACAATTGTACATATTTACATATTTTTAGAAGGGAGGTGTGATTGAAGAGTGGCAGAAAAAATTGTGGAAACACTGGTACTTATAATAAAATTATTATACTGCACATTTTGTTGTCTGAAACGACCCATGAAGTGATCATGCACTGCATCATGGGACATTTAGGGAAATTGTTTCAAGCATGGGGTCTGTAAAGCCGGACTTATCAGACTAACACCTGACTATATAATAACTAAAATGAACTGGACAAAGACAAAAGTAATTAAAATAGAATGAGTACGTGCATAGAAGACAGAAAATAACGCATGTATGTGGAGAGGTCAGTTTTTTTGTAACATTCTCTCAGCGTCTGGCAGTATTGGCACTCTTGCAGGTCTTGAAAACCTCAAGTCATCATTTCTTCATCAAATTATACCTACAATAAAGAGAACAACTTGAGTTATCATTTGCTGAATTATAACAAATTGCTGTTGTAAATTTATATGGTAAGTATTCTATTGGTACAACTTAAAAAAAAATAACTTTTTGTGCATGCTTCATGAACGAAACTGAAGTTACTACAAAACATGCAGATCATGTGATCATGTGACTTAAGAGGGTCATGTGATTTGGAATGTCACATGACTATTCAAATTTGCATTATCTTAACTAATTAGCATAACAATGTATGCACTGTACTGTCAGTTACTGTATGTTAATATGAAAGCACCAAATTCAAAAATCTCAATCCAGTGTAAATGTTTATTAGAATTGTGAGGTGAAAGCAAAAATAGAATTTGGTAAATAGTTGGATTTTTTGAGTGTTTTCAGTAATGTGGCACAATATTAAGAGATCTATACACCATCAGATATGTACTGTGAATTATTTTCTCTCAGAGTTTATGTTTGTTGGTTTCACTGAAGTCTAGGAAGTAAATCAGTATCAGCATGGAATTACTACAATTAATTATACTACCGGGTACCTAATATATAATTACTACCCCCGGAACTACATTTTGATTAATTCTTTAAAAACAGTGGTGTGTTATATATATTTAATTATAACCCTGGCGATATCTTTTATCTATGACATTGTTTTAATTTGTGTGTGACAGCACTCTGAATACAAATAACTAAACAAAACATGGAGGTTGGAAGTTCTTGTAAACATCTAGTATATGTACACAAGACAAGGATTGACTCCCTTATTAGAAAGACGAAAGGATGTTTACATCTCTGAGCATTTGATGTCATCATCCTATGCACTTCAGTCATCGTTTTAGCACAAGTGATGTCATCATTCTTTGTGTTTTAGCACAAGTGATGTCATCATTCTTTGTGTTTAAGCACAAGTGATGTCATCATTCTTGGTGTTTTAGCACAAGTGATGTCATCATTCTTTGTGTTGTCACCATTCTTGGTTTTTTAGCACAAGTGATGTCCTCATTTTTGATGTTTCAGAGCAAGTTTTTGTTTTTTACAAGGAGTTTGTGCACATAAAAGGCGATAAATTTAAATACAGAAATAACTTGTGTTGAATTTCAAATGGTGCAATTGTCATAACACACTTAAACTGAAGCCAATACAATGTTGACTATGAATGCTTCTAACTGCTAAAGTCACCAATACTGTATTTGCTCTATTAGTAGTGCATGTTCTTTCACAATCCCGCTGTATTTGTTAGTTTATATGCACTTCTAATAGAGAAAATATCGGGTATTATAATCAACTATGGGGTTGCATTTCAAATGTACAAGCAAATAAAAATAAGATGTACAGGAATAAGAAAATAATTGCAAGATGCTGTCTATTAAAAAGTATCAGAATAAATAATAAATATTAGTACAAAATGCGTAACAAATCTCATGCAAGGAACAGCGACAACATTATAAGTACGTTGCATCTAATGTCAGATATACATCATAACTGTTTCTCTGCTTGCAATGTTTGCGATTTCAGAGCTCGGAGCATAGGTGACACCGACTTCTTGTCCCGAGAATCCAAGTGAACGGTTTACTGTTTTAGAATTTTGCGATCTTCTCTGATGAGCTAAATTTGCCAAAAGGAAAGTGCTGGACTAAATAGACCTAGTAATTCAGCTACAGAAGAGATTTAGTCTCTAGTGCTGAATAATTATACAGGATCAATGTACATTACCTTGTACTGTAGAATACTTTATTTCTGCTGGAATCAATTTTCGCTGAAAGGACATTTTGGATGTTTTGTTTGGTTTTGTTTTCACTGATTTTTGACGAGTTGAATGTAAAATATAGGGAAAAAGGTATTTTCACTGAATCATTCCTTTAGCGAAAATTAATTCCAAGCGAAGAGTATTTTACAGTATATATAATCTGTTTATGTTGTAAATTTTTTGCGCCAATTAAAGCCGCATCCATCAGAATTTTTTTTTATTTTTGTAGGCAATTTGTTACATTGTAGCCATTCTGCAATTATCGCATTTGTAATCAAAATACCCCGGTAACAGTCATCGCTAGGGTCTGTAATTGACAAGTATTATCATAGATATAGACCATGTCTTTTATTGTGGTGTGTACTTGAATATTAAACACAAAAGTATGACAAATGCATACTTGAAGTATATCGTACATTAAACACTGTTGTCATGCAAACATTTTGAACAGTCCTTGCAAATAAAGTTAATAGTAATAAACTACATAGATGGGAAGACAGTGCAGGTAAGGAAAATTGCAGCCAACAGATGGGAGAGCTATTTTTGTAGACCTTTTTTGCGAATTTAAATTCACCTTAAATTTGGTAAGCTCCACTTTCTTGACATAGATTTTTTTTTCTGTAATAAAAGTGGAAGAAAAACACTTCTTCATGTCATTTGTTGATAACATTAGGGAGTTTATGGTGTCATTTGTCGATAACATAAGGGAGTTTATGATGTCATTTACTGGTAACATAAGGAGTTTATAGTGTCATGTATCAGTAGTATAATGAGTTTATAGGTGTGTTTTTTTTCAGTTAGCTTGAGATTTCTTGGCAAGAGAATAAATAACACTTCTCAATCAGCCCGAAAAACAATTCAAAATTTTCAAAAAATCGCATCTAAGGTGGGCAGTGCTAATTTGACCAAAAAGAAAAAAACTGACTAATCAGAATTGCATTGTTCCCATCACCTCACCCTGGTTCTATTGTTTTCAGCAGATGCTTCGGCTGTGCTAGGTGGCTAGCGCCCTCTACCAAGACATTTTGAATATCTTTTGTTTGCATTTTATCATTACGCACATTAAAGATACATACGATGGGCCCAGTCCAAGCTGGAGTGAAAGCAACTTTGCTTTTGATTTTTTTACCTTATTTTGGTTGGTGTGATCGTGCAATGATTAGAAGGTTGGGAGGGGAGGGGGGAGGATTGTTCTCACACTGTTATTGTTAGTCGATGCAAATTGAATGTTTTGTGTACTGTCCAAACCTGGTAGCGTGGTGCAGATTAAACTTTGCGATGAATTAATAAAATAAAGCAGATATGCCATTGTTAGAGAAAGCAATTAATATATGCTTACAGTAGTAACATGTTGATTTGGACAGCTATTAGAAGTGCGATTAGTTCTACTATTATAACGATTCACAGGCGTAGATAGATAACTTACTTCAGAACAGCTGTTCGTATTACCACCTATGGGAATGAAACCAAAACAACAGATCATCAAACACAGTTAACAATTTTAAGAAGGTCCCTGCAATCAATCTTCATTCACACTTGTGGTATTTTGGAGGGAAATTGCTAGGCGAGCAAATTATTTCATAAACAGGAAGTTTCGTTCATCACAGCGAGTAATAATACCATACAATTATTTGATAATAAACTTTGGCGGCCATTTTGAACAAAAAAATTTCAAAATATGATAAAATTCAAGTATAATATAAATCTTCTATTTTTAAGGATTAACCTTTCAAACTTATTTTTTGTTCAATTTTGTCAGTAAATTACATGTTCAGGTAAAGTTCAGACAATTATAACCTAAAATATGTTACTAAAAGCCATCATTAAATACGTACTAATAGAATGAACAGTTCCAAGTGAATGTCGATGTTTTGTTTCTATAAACTCCTCAGGCAGCTCTGCTGTTGAAAGTAACGTGTCAAAATTCGCCAACGCCAAAGACCCGACGATAGATGATCCAGATCCCGTTGATGACGAACTACTGACTGAGATAATGGAAAGCGGTCGTTTGTTTGTAGGTGTTGAGTGATCAAAACTACATTCTGCGACTGAGTTCCGTGATCTTGAGCCTAAAACAAATGCAGTAAAGTAATGTAAATATTTATTTATATCAAGATATTGAATAAGTAAATTGTCAGATACATGAAGGAAAGAAAATGCATTTTCTATTGACATTAGCAATATATATGTATGGTGTAAGCACTATGTTTGACAGACATTCCATGAAAGGACCACCTTGTGCTTACCTCTGCCTTTCATGACGTAATCAATAGCTCGGTCATTAATCTGATCTTTGCTCGGTTTTATATCTATGCAGGGTTTCTGTCCAATGCCCATTGTATGCATTTCAGCCATCCTACATTCTATAATTATGCAAATAAGCTCATTTAGTATGCAAGTAGTGAGAGAATGTACAAATAGCCTTATTCAATGGTTCAAGTACAATCAAAATATGCAATTACCCTCATTTAGTATGCAAGTGGCAACACACAAATAGTCCAATGGAACACGTACAATTAAAATATGCTAATAGACTCATTTATCATGCAAGAAAAAAGGAACATGCAAACTGTACTATCATAGTATGCAAATAGCCTCATCTAATCATGCAAATGTAAGTGCAAATACACTCAGCACGTCTATTTTACCTTTACTCCTGAACGCTTGTTTCCAGAGAATTTTAGTGATGTTATCCGTCCATGAATGTTTGATGCGATATGTGGGTGCATGAAATATGTACGTTTCTTGGGCTTTCCTCTTCCTGAACCATAGTTCAAACTTCAAACCACTTTCACCAATGTTTTCAGTCAGCCCCACATCGGCAGTCTGTAAGGTAAGGTACAAGAGAAATGTATCTGTTACTGCTATATTGAAAGAAGTAACTTTTATACTGCCATCTGTTATGAGAAA